CCTCCTGCCCCGCATAGCGCAGCTACTGCGAGAGGTGGCCCAGGCCCGGCGGGAGGCCAGCGGAGGCTGCCCCGAGGGACCGGGTGGCGCCGGCGACTTTCTTGTCATCTACCTCGCCAACCTGGAGGCTAAGAGCAGGCAGGTGGCGGCGCTGCTGCCACCCCGGGGACGAAAGAATGCGGACGACGAGCTCTTCCGGGAGGGCTCCAGATTCAGGTGAGCGGAACCCCTGGTTCCAGAACAAAGTCCCCAGGTGTGAAGTTCAGGTTGTGCTCCCAGCTCTCCACCCCCGGACCCAGGAGTCCAGTCCGGTCCCGCCTCCCTCGGACCTGGGAGTCCAGCTCCAGGCCCTCCCAGCCTGGACCCAGGAATCCAATCCGGCCCCTCCTCTCTCAGATCCGGGAGTCCAGTCCCAGCCCCTCCTCCCTCAGATCTCGGGGTCTAGTCTTGCAGCCCCTCCGCCCTCAGACCCCGGAGTCCAGGCCCCCAGCCCCTCCTCCCTGAGGGAACCTGAAAAACCAGGACAATTATTTTGTCCCTGTCTTCGGCCCCATGCCTGCAGCCCCCCCACTTCCTCTTTTTCTCGGTCACCCTGCTCTGTTTCCAATCATTCCACTCTCCAAGAAGATGGGACACCTTGGGGCTCCCGCAGGGGAGGAACGAATCCATGCCTGGAGAGCCTGGTGGTTAGGCCGCTACCCCTGGGCCTTGAGCTTGGGGTAAAGAGGCCAGGGCCTAACGTCCACCTGCAGCCCCTCCCAAGGACAGCTGAGAGAAGGGCACGCCAGCACTGGAGCCCAGAGCCCCCCAAAGGTCTCTGCAGTGGTTCTCAGTTCCTCCACCCCACACCCCTGCATAGCAAACATTTCTAAGTGTCTCCTTAATTTATCCTGAAATGAAATACATATAATTTTTTAAATAATTATTTCATTTAACTTTATTTATTTTAATTTGACTAGAGAGGGACAGAGCGAGAGAGAAAGAAAATCAGTCACCAGGTCCAGAACTCGTGCCACAGTCGGCCATGTGGGAGTCCAGCGCCCCTAACCACCACGCCACCTGGTAGCCCCGGAACACAGTTTTGACAACCTACCTACCCATAACTTTTTCAATAATGTCCGAGTTATAAGAGAGTGATCTAAAAATGTTTTCCATAATATATGATGTATATTCCAAATGCAAATGCCAAGACAGTTATTCTGGAAGGCCGGACTGACCAGTCCAACTCTTGCACCTGCAGGTAGAACCACCACGATGCAGAATCAAATAGGCGTCCCTCGCCATACAGATCATTGGATTTCTTCAAAATTTAGTCGAAATTTGAAATGTGCAAAAACCATTCATGGTAAAAAGCAGCTGTTTTGGGCCAATAGGTGGCCTAGTGGTTAAGGTGCTAGGCTCCCACATGGCCAACTGTGGTTCAAGTTCCAGACCTAGCGGCTCGAAAGTCACGCCAGGCACATGTGGGTGCATACCCAAATTCCCAGGAGCAGAATGGAGGGGATGGGATTGTGGCATGGCCATCTGCCCCGTGGGACTAGGGGTGATTTCCTGCTTTCTCTCTCACTTTCTCTCTCTCTCTCCAGCATGCACGTGCTGCATCCTATGGCAAAAACCCTAGGGGGAAAAAGGCAATTGGTTTTGAAGCTTTGGTAACTATGAATGGATTTTTCTTTTTATTTTCTATTGCTGCAAAGCATTTTTGGGGGAAGTTTTTTGTTTGTGTGTTTGTTTGTTTGCCATAGGATGCGAACGCTCACGAGAGAGAGAGAGAGACACAGTGAGATGAGAGGGAAGCTGATAAATAACCTCCCAGGAGGAATGGCCATGCTGTAATCCCTTCTCCATTCTTCTCCAAGAATTTTGGGCATGCATGTGCACGCACCAGGCATGAGTTTTGTTGTTGTTGCTTGAAAGAATTATTTTATTTAATTTTATTCATTTATTTAAATTTGACCAGAGACAGACAGAGAGACAGAGAGAAAGTGAGAAAGAAGACACCAAGTCCGGGGACCTGAACCGTGGTCGCCTACGTGGGAGTCCAGTGCCCTTAACCACCACACTACCTGCTGGCCCCCTGGCAAGAGTTTTAAGCCTCTGGGTCCGGAACTCCAACCACGGTCAACTGCGTGGGAGTCCAGTAACTTAACCATTATGCCATCTGCTACTCCTGATTATTATTATTTTTTAAATTTGGTAAAGGGCATGTTTGCTCACGAGAGAGAAACAGAGAGAGAGGGAAAGTAAGAAAGAAGTCACCAGGTCAAGACTTGAACCATGGTCGGCCATGAGGGAATCCAGTGCCTCAACTACCGCGCTGCCTGCTGGCCTGAGTGTTCACGATATTTTCTTCCTTTCTTTCTGAAGAGGTTTTTACCTTAGGGTACTGGCACTTGCGGTGGCGTGGAGGAGGCAGGTGGAGAGAGACAGAGACAGGGAGAGGGAAAATCAGAAATCACCCCCCAGGGGGGATGGCCACACCGCAATCCCTTCTCCTCCATTCTCTTCTTGGGATCTTGGGCACGCACGCACACACGCCCGGCGTGAGTTCAAGCCACTGGGTCCAGGACTTGAACCGTGGTTGGCCATGTGTGAGTCCAGCAACGTAACCGCTATGCTCCCTGCTGGCTCTGATATCCAAAGTATCATCATTTCCACTTGTAATCAATGTACAGCAATGATTGGGACCAGCAGTTAGCGTAATGGCTATGTCGCTGGACTCCCACGTAGTCGACCGCGGTTCGCGTCTTGGAGCCGGTGGCTTAAACTCACGCCGGGCGCATGTGCGTGCGTGCCCAAGATCCCAAGAAGAGAATGGAGGAGAAGGGATTGTGGCGTGGCCATCCCCTCTCAAAAAAAAAAAAATATATATATATACAGCAATGATTCACGATAACAGCTTTTTTTTTTTTGAGAGGTTTTTGCTATAGGTTGCATGCACTCGCCAGAAAGAGAGAGACAGAGAGCGAGAAATCACCCCCCAGGGGGGATGGCCACACCGCAATCCCTTCTCCTCCATTCTCCTCTTGGGATCTTGGGCACGCACGCACACACGCCCGGCGTGAGTTCAAGCCACTGGGTCTGGGACTCGAACCACTGTCAACTACATGGGAGTCCAGCGACCTAGCCACTACGCTGACTGCTGGTCCCACGATAGCAGGTTTTTTAAATGTCTTTCCTTTTTGCGCGGATGTGGAGAAATCCAGTGTGTATCTCACAGGTAAAGCACATCTTATCTGGAGCCATTGCAGACGGTGCTCTGATACCGGACAACCCAGCTCTACATTCTGGCAAGGTGCTTGGAAACAGTCACGGGGTGACCAGGCCGCTGTGGCACATGGGGAAAGCCACACTGAGCAGCGTTGCAGCCACAAAAGCCGGGTTCCACTCCCGGGTCCTCCGCTGTGCCGAGTACACTCGTGGCCTCTGAGGAAGGGCTGGGGGGGGACTGCGGCATGGGACTCTGCTGAGGGTGTTTCTCTCAAAAAAACAACAAAAAGTGCAAGAAAAACCAGAAGACCCTCAGGGGCAGCCCTATAGAAGGAAGGCTGGCAGGTAGCGTGGAGCTTAAGGCACTGGCTCGCACACGGCCAGCTCCATGGTTCAAGACCCAGACCTGGAAGCTTGAAAATCACACTGGGTACACGTGCCCAAGATCCTGAGAGGAGAACGGAGGAGAGAGGGTTATGGTCTGGCCATGCCCCTGGGGGGAGGGGTGCTTTCTCACTTTCCCTCTCTCCCTGTCTCTCTCTGGCAAGTACACGCATCCTATGACCAAAACCTAAAAGAAATTTTTAAGTCACACAGCTAAATATCAGAGCTACCGTTTACGCTGATCAGCCACCCAGGGAGGAAGCTGCCAGGAGAAAAGACAGACTCCACCCTCCACCCTGGGGTTGCGTGCAGGCTGCCCGCACAGCTAGTTGTCCCCATGGTCCCATTAGGAGTGCCTTCCCCTCCCGCCATGGGGCTTCCGGCAAAGGCTGGGTGCTGCTGACTGGAGGCTGGTGTGACACGGGGTACAATCTACACTTCCCCGCTGGAGAGGAAACTGAGGTCCAGGGAGGGGAGACCTCGGGTTTGAGACAGGTGGTCATGGGATAGACCCTGCGTGTTGCAGAGTCTGCGGGCCTTGTCCAGGGGGCTCTGGAACCCCAAGGTCCAGCCCGGGTCCTCGACTATCCCCGCAGGCGGCAGCTGGCCAAGCTGGCCATCGTCTTCAGTCACATGCACGCAGAGCTGGGCGCGCTGTTCCCCCGGGGGGCGTACTGCGGGCACACCTACCAGCTCACCAAGAGCGCGCCACACGCCTTCTGGAGGCAGCACTGCGGAGCCCGGTGAGTGAGCACCTCCCCGCCCAGGCCTGCCCAGATGCTCCATCCGGGGCTTCCAGGGGTCTCAGCTATGTCTCCCCATCACCCTCCCAGCTGTGTGCTGCCCTGGGCCGAGTTTGAGTCGCTCCTGGGCACCTGCCACCCTGTGGAACCGGGCCCTGTGGCCCTGGCCTTGCGGTCCACGGTCGACCTCACCTGCAGCGGCCACGTGTCCGTCTTCGAGTTTGACATCTTCACCAGGCTCTTCCAGGTCTGGAAGGAGGGGCGGGGGCCAGACCCCAGGGTCCTGACTCGGGTCTGAGGGAGGAGGGACTGGGGCTGGAACCTAGGCATGGGGGCAGGGAACAGGGCCTGGACTCCTGGGTCCGAGTGGGGGCCTGGACTCAGAGGGGAGGGAGGGGATCCCAGATTCCTGATTCCTGAGTCCTGGGGAAGGAACGGTTGAGGGTATTTGTTTTTTGCATAAATGAGATATTCCAGCCACCCAGCATGGGTGTGAGGGGACCTGGGGGGCACTGGGAACAGGCTGCCTCCTTGCCCTGCCCACCCATCCAAGCCCTGCCCTTCTGCAGCCATGGCCCACACTCCTCAAGAACTGGCAGCTGCTGGCGGTCAACCACCCAGGCTACATGGCCTTCCTCACCTACGACGAGGTCCAGGCACGCCTGCAGGCCTGCAGGGACAAGCCAGGCAGGTCAGAGTCCAGGTCTCGGGAGGACAGGGCTGCGGGGTTCGGGTGGGGCCTGTGCTGGTCATGGCAGAAACCCAGGCATCCTTCAGGGAGGAAGAGCAGAGGTACCTGGGATCCCCGAGAGTCGAGGACTCCAGGGTAGGACACTGAGTGCCACCTGCCTCTTCTCCTGAGACCTCCTGAACCCTCCCACCGTCCGGCAGCTGCAGGACCGCTCAGTCTGGCAGGGGCCCTGAAGACGCTGCCCCACCGGGAGGTCTGTGCCTGATAGGTCAGAGCCCTGCTGCCTGCTGCACGGCCCGCTAAGGCCCGCTAAATTACATTCCTATTGTGGCTGGGACGCTAGACTCCTGAGTCCTTTTTTTTGAGAGGTTTTTGCTATAGAAAGACAGAGACAGAAAGTGAGAAATCACTCCCCAGGGGGAATGGGCCCACCGCAATCTCTGCTCCTCCATTCTCCTCTTGGGATCTTGGGCATGCACGCACACGCGCCTGGTGTGAGTTTAAGCCTCTGGGTCCGGGACTCGAACCACAGTCGACTACATGGGAGTCCAGCGACATAGCCATTACGCCAACTACTGATCCCAACACCTGAGTCTTTAAGTTATCTCAAGCCAGGAATGTGAACTGTTGGGTCCCCTCAATGGGGTTTGGGGGTTGTTCTAAGAAATGAAGGGAGGGCTGGCAGGTGGCATGGTGATTGAGGGCAGTGGACACCCACATGGCCAACTGTGGTTCGAGTCCCAGACCTGGAGGTTTGCTTTCTCACTTTCCTTCTCTGGCCCTCTCCGGTAAAATTAAAATAAATAAATAAAGTTAAATCATTCTTTTTTAATTTTATTTATTCATTCATTTATTTTAATTTAACCAGAGACAGAGAGAGAGCGAGACAGAGAGAGAAAGTGGGAAAGCAAGCCACCAGGCCCAGGGCTCGAACCGCCGTCGGCCACATGGGAGTGTCCAGCACCTTAGCCTCCATGCCACCTGCTGGTCCCAAATTAAATAATTCTTGAAAAAAAAAAAAAGAAAAGAAAAAAGAAGTTAAGGGAATAGAAGTTCAAATTCATGAGTCTCTGCAGGGCTGAGGCACAGGAGCCCCAGGAAGGTGAGTGTATTCGCATTCTCCGGGTTACATTTCAACGTGGTTTAAGAGAAAAGCAAAAGGCATAGGCCCATGCATATCACCGGAAAGAACAAAGAGTGGGTTTCCGGCACAGCTCGATCCAGGTGCTCGAGGACTACTGTCAGGACTCGTTCCTGTCCCTCCCCAGTCTCTGCTTCCTCGGTGGTAGCTTTGTGCTCACATGTGGTCTCTCCTCATGGTGCCAGATGGCTTCGAGAAGTCCCAGCTGCACACTCTCCCAGCCCAGCAGCCTCTGTAGAAGGGGGGCACCTTGCTCTGCTATTTCCAGCCAAAGTCCCATCACTGTGCTCAGGGGTCTTGAAATGCACTGGCCAAGCCAGCCTTGTCTCAGCCCCAGTGAAGGAGAGAGATTTCCAAAGGTGTTGTTATCATGAGAAGGGCCACGTGGATTAAAGTGATACCGATGCCCTGTCTACCATGGCAGATGGGACCCAGCACCATATTGCATGAAGGATGGGACTTAGACACCTGGGTCCCCAACAGAGAGGGGATTGGGAGTCCCCAGAAGGGCCGGCAATGACCACTCCCTCTCCCTGTCTCCCTTCTCTCCCTCCAGCTATATCTTCCGGCCCAGCTGTACTCGCCCGGGGCAGTGGGCCATCGGGTATGTGAACTCTGACGGCAGCATCCTGCAGACCATCCCTTCCAACAAACCCCTGTTCCACGTGCTTCTGGAAGGACAAAAGAATGGCTTGTGAGTCCCCATTCCGGCAAGAAGAGGGTGTCAGCAAATCCACGTCCAAAGTCCCTCATGTCAGCACTGTCCAAACCCCCCCTGCCCCAGGGTTTCCCCATTCACTCGGCCCAGGGCACAAACTTGCAATACCGCAGTGTTCCAGCAGGTGGCAGTCAAGGGTCTTGAAGAAGGGGGCGCCTCTGTGGCTCACACAAAGCACCGGGGCAAGCTGGGAAAGTGTGGGAAGTGGGCCCAAGCCCAGGGGCGCCATTCCTCGGAATTGAGGTCGAGAGCTTTTGCTTCTAGATACCGTATTCTATTCTAGAATCTGGACAGGAAGGTCAGAAGGAGAACTGGGGAACCAGCTAGAATGGTGTTTTTCAACCTATAAAACCTTGGCTGCCCTGGGGGGCCTCTCTTTCAGAAGGTCCCTTGGATGGGGAGGTGGGGGAAGGCAAGTTAGGGTCCAGAGTTTCACCTCTACCCAGAGCTCGCTTACTTTCTTTAATTGTCAGAGAGCCTGTGTTCTCGCCAGAGAGCAATAAAGAGGAAAAGGGAAAAAGGGCCCATGGTCACGCCATAATCCCCTCTCCTCCATTTCTCCATCCTGGTGGGATGCCCATGTTTTTTAAACTGTGGAGGCCAGAACTCAAACTTCAGTTGGCCGTGCAGATCTGGGTTCCCCCAAACCACTGGGCCACAAGGCCAAACCTCCCAATGCTTTCATACAAGTCGTAGCCATGTGACTGGTAAGGTAGGAGCCAGAGAGCTTGGCAGACATATCCCGTCAGGGGACCAGCAGTTAGTGTAATGGCTATGTCGCTGGACTCCCATGTAGTCGACCGCGGTTCAAGTCCCGGACTCGGTGGCTTAAACTCACGCCAGGCACATGTGCGTGCGTGCCCAAGATCCCGAGAGGAGAATGGAGGAGAAGGGATTGCAGCGTGACCATCCCCCCTGGGGGGTGATTTCTCGCTTTCTGTCTCTCTGTCTCTCTCTGTCTGTCTGGCAAGCACATCCGCCCTATAGCAAAAACCTCTCCAAAAAAAAAAAAAAAAGACATATCCTGTCAGTTCTCGTTATTCACAAAAGTTATATTCAATAACATTTCGACAAACCCTGAGTCAGTGCACAGGTTTAAGTTCCTACAAGACCCTCATCACGACACTTGTCAGCCATTGAATAACAACCTTAGGAACCAGCAGTTAGCATAATGGCTATGTCGCTGGACTCTCACGTAGTTGACTGCGGTTCGAGTCCCGGACCCGGTGGCTTAAAACTCACGCCAGGCGCGTGTGCGTGCGTGCCCAAGATCCCGAGAGGAGAATGGAG